GCCCTCACGTGCTAACGATGGAAAGAAATGACGAAAGTGACATGGTTCCCCCATAGTTGCAGTCTACCTCGTCTGTAAGCTCATTATTTTTCTAGTGACTGGCAAGGTGGCACAGAGGACCGTTTAAAGTCGCACCACGACTATTATAGGGAATCGTGCAAAGTAACGAAAATGACAAGAATCACAGCGGCCATCGACGGTGAGTGTCCGCAACCGCTTCGAAAGCCATTCAACTAAGGAACGCCTTTGCTCTAAGCGACTTTTGTCTGTTTGAAGACGTGCCAATTCATAAAACTCCGAGTGGCACACGACAGTGCGAAGTGGTCACAGCGAAGGTCACGGCAGGTAATTCGCGCACTATCTGACCGTTCGACCGTCGTCGACGATGTCTACCGTATCGTCCACAGCAGGGCGAAAGCAGGCACGGTGACTTGCGCGTGAGGTAGTTTATCGTAAGAGTGGGCTTGCCTAGTATCTACCGCATCCGGGCCGGCGCACAACCTTGATACCTTAACACACAGCGAAAAGAACTACACGCAGCCAAAAACTGCCTTGGTGGTTTATCGGATTTGCTGCCGTTTAACGCTTTAATGTAAAACACCATTCAGATGAAATAGTAAGAACATCCAACCAGGTCCTTCATCGCCTCGCACTCTTCACCTAATTGGGCGGCAGCTAAAACTGCCAGCAGCTGGGGGGAATCCAGATCACGGACCTCAGTCTTCCCTCCTCTGGAACCGCCGTCTCCGCAGCATGCGGACTCCAGAAAGACCACGACTAGTCTAAAAAAGAGTCGGCTACAAAGGTGAACGAAATGCTCATCATTTAAGTGGGGTGTGTACATAATGTGTCTCAGTGAATAAAACAAAGACCGAACCGCAGTCGGGTGTTGTCGCCCAACTGCGGCGTGAGGGAGGACTGGTCTCATTCTCAAAGGTCCGCAGCCAGAGGTAGCAAACAACGACTGCAATGGCAACAAAATCTGCAGCAAGCAATTGCGCGGGGCGGGGGGAGGCAGATGAGGTGTGCAATAGTCGGCGAGGAGCAAGTGAGCAGTTTGGTGTGTGGAGGCGGGAAAGGTGTGTTGGAATGTACAAATGCGCGCCGGCGCGTACACACAAACGGGGGGGGAGATGACGGGGGCCAATGAGATCACTGATGAAATTTAGCAAAAAGCACTGACAAGAAAACAACAGGAAGGGCTGGGTTGAGGTAAGATGACAGGGAGAGAAGAAAGATGAGGACGCCGACCTCGAATGTCAACCTGAGCAGAGACCGCGGCCACACATACAAAAAATCCTTTAGTGTCCGTGCATGAGACGGGAGACTAGGCGAGAGAGAGAGAGGACAAAGCTGCAGGTTTCGGCAATAATGCAAGTTTATACATGTGGACACACCGTACGAAGAGCAAAAAATAGAAGAGAAAGAAGCCAGGCCTACGCGCCAGAGGGCAAAAGTATGAAATGGCTAGCATTGGAGGTCGGTCGCAAAGCCAGCAAAACAAATGCGAGTCTGCGGGATAAAAAAATCAGTCGCAAAAGGTCGCTGCCGATTGAGCGAGTCCGCACAGAAGCGGTTTCGGAGGCGCACGCAGGGGTGTCACGTGAATATCCTTGTTGCCTGAGAAAGTTGAGCCAGTGCGAGTATGTGGAAGGGCAGACAGCTACGACGGTCATTGGTGACTGGGTCGTAGGTAAGCCAGGAGAGGCTGTTGTAGGACTCCAAGACGAAGCGCAACACGTCGCAGGTGACGGTTGAGTCCAGTAAGTGGCCTGCATAGCCCCGACTGCCGTCTGAACCACCAGCCACGCCGGGGGAGACAGCCGTGTCAGTGGTCACGGCGTCATCATTGCCGACTAGCGTTAAGTGTAGGTGAAGAGCAGACTTCAGACACACGGGATTCGATTGGCTCGTTTGCCGACAGGCTGACCAGAACCAGGCAGGCATCGGACCAGTGGGCGCGGTTGAGATGTAGTAGCCCATGGCAAGTGGCTGTTGCATGAGGCTGGGTTGTTCCAACTAAGAGGGAAAAGGTCAATATTTCACTAGATGAGGTCACAAGAAAGGCCGGAGTGTCAACGGTCTTTCCGGCAATATGTACAGCTTTTGGCGAAGCTCGTATGTTGATGGGAAGACAGATGCTTTTTGAGTTTTATAGATATAAGACGTGCAGTATTAAAAGGCTCCCGATTCTGAGGCTTATAAGGAAAAAACGCATGTTCGAAGGAGTCCTGACCCTAACAACTGAAAAAATATCATCCAAGTCGAAAAAATAAAAGTACCTGTGCCGAATTTTTAAAGTCTTCTCAAAATAATCGACTATGGGTGGAAGCGATCCTCAGCTGAACGACACCAACAGCGTGAGTTGATCGACTTGTCGAGAAGGCATAAATTGTACGGTCAAGAGGGTTTCGGGAGAAAATGTATCCGAACCACATATATCATGATGGACAAGCGCATAACTGTACAGATGCCTGTTAGTCATTCAGTTTTTTAAATAACCAGACCTGAAAGCGCTACCCAATTACTCGCCAAGTGTCTGTCGTATTATCGTGGCCGACTGCGTGAACGCACTGACGCCTAGGCCAGCGTCCCCCAAGTTCACTTTTAAACACTTTCAGCATAAAAATCTGCCAACGCCACAGAGCAGGGTGCAAATCACAGGTGGAGATTTTTGTCACAGAAAGCCGTAAAATAATGCGTGAAGGCGTGGGGGGAGAAACGTAGGTGATTATGTCTTTCAAATTCGACTCATGATCACCGGAAATGCAAATCACCGTCTTAGATTTTTCTCCTCACGGCCTCAAGAAACCACTGATAAAGGCGATGATTCTTGTTGTGCGACCTCACCGATTGTCTGCAGTTGGCTAACAAAGACCGTTGACAATACAGACTTTGTTCCAAGCTGTCTTCACTGAGATTTGTAAGGTAAAGGCTCCGTCTGTAACCCTCAGATACAAAGGACGGTTCGGCTTTCGTTTCCAACAATGTCCGTAGTGTGCGCCACAGCAAGGTGGACACAAAGATGACTTGCAGGTGAATTAGTTTGTAGGGGTAGCATACTTGAGCTGCATCTACCGGGCTCGGTGTGTCAAGATAGGGTTAGGAAGATCGGAGGTGGGGTGGGGTGCAGGAGACTGACGTGACGCGAGCCCGCGTCTAGACACGTGCCACAAAACCTCCAGTGTATGACATTTGTCATGGGTACGCAGACCAATAACGTGTGTGCCATACCCTGACCGGACTCCCGTGTTGGTCCGGCGCAACTCCCGCGTGGCCCGTGGCCGAAACGCGCACACATAAACACACGTAAACCCGGCAGGGAGCCCAAGCAAACTGTGAGAAGCTGAAATTTTGAGTCAAGAGGGACGCCATACCCATTGGTTTACAGACTCGGCGTGGGTGCTTACGACATCTCGGTAGGTAGAACAACAGACCGTCGGTAGTCGAGGTCAATTCGGTGGTAAAATGACATTCGACTGCACTAGGCCGCCGATTTAGTTAGT